TTCGTGGCGAATATCGAACGGCGAAAATATTCGCGTCCCGGTTGCGCTCGCGCGTCCGCTTGTCGGACGCCAATAAATTTTTCACATAACCTGTACCAATAAAATGAGATAGCGGGAGTAGAGGAGGCATCGACGCGATCCTGAAACAACTATACTTATCGAGGATCGTGCCTCGCAGGGTCTGATGGAGCCCCGCGTTTTCAGTCCCGCTTCTGTAATTACTATCTTCCTCACGTATACAGCATCGTTGCCTCTTTTACTCCGGTTCATGCCAAAAAACCGAAAACTTTCGTCCCGATCGCATTAGCAATAGAGTCGCATTGGCGAATTCCGTTTTCTTTTCTAGATACATCACGTCTCTCTCTCTCCCTCTCTTTGCCACACGCCAAACGAAAAATGAGTCTCTTTCCGCAGTGTCAAGAGCGAGTTTGTAGCCATCGCGCAACGAATATCATTTATCTCTGGATATTTCTAACACATACATGTACCCAGGAGCATTCGCGATGTTCGCGATTGATTAAGCAAGAAAGAAAGAGAAGAAAGCAAAATCATAATTGTGAAATAATCGTGGCTATTTGCGCGGTCGGCCTCTCGCATCCCGAGAGCGTCTCGCTGAAGGAATCGTTATCCTCGCTTTTCCCGCGTCCGGTCCGGGCTCCCCTATGCCCGACGATCGTGATAAAAGCATCGGACAATAATAAACAATGCGTGAAACGACAAGTACAGTCGGGCGACCGGGGGCATTTCGCGAGATGCTATCGGGCCCGGGACTCAGCCCCCGGTAGCAGAGCGCAATCAATCATTCGAACCGGATAAAATATAAAATACGGTACCGCGGCCTATCCGACGTACGTGCATGCGCGTGTATGTAAGCGTGTGCGTGTGTTTGCCGTTTTATTTATTTGCACGGTCATGCAAGCTACGCGGAATTAACGTATTTTTTACACGCGACCTCGGCAGGATGACGGCGGGTCGATGGCGAGCACCGACCTAAGCTTCCATTATCGCCAGCGCATTAAACCAGCCGCGACGAGGGAATTTAACGCGGTTTCTTCTTTTCTTTTTCCCCTTTCTCCCTTTTCTCTTCTTCTTTCCTTCGATTTGCCAGCAACTTGACCCGCAACTTGACTCGATCAAAAGATGTTCTTGCGGTCAAGCCAAAGTCGAGTTGAAAGAATTTTGCGAGAATTCGAGAGAACCTCGGGTCTTCCGAGTCGAGAGCATTCGTAAGAAACGACGCGTCTCTCTTTCGAACAGAAGCTTCAGCTAAAAGCTCGTGCATCCCGACAGGCCGATACGCCCGAGGAAGAGAGAGCATAATGGCGTTTCGCGTCGCGTGATGGATGGTACCGGCGGTATCTTGTATCGCGGTATCGCCTACCTCGACTTGCTTATTAAACTGTTCGGTATTTCTCGCGGACGTGCAACGAAAGACAGTGTCGCGACGGCGGTCTCCTCGTCGTGGGAGTAGCGCGCGCGCTGTGGCAGAGGAAGATCGATGCTCTGTGCGCGCAGCTCGGGGACCGAAACTTTTAATAAGTGTCATCTACCAGCTACCGAGGTAGCCGGGAGAGACAGAGAGAAAGAGGGGGAGAGGGAGAGAGAGAGAGAGAGAGAGAGAGAGAGAGAGAGAGAGAGAGAGAGAGAGAGAATCTCATTATGAATCGCTACCGTTCGTGCTTTAAGCACGTGTCAGAAAAATTATATCTGATTTATTTAAACGGCTGATCGGCTACTGGAATGCGTGAACACTCGCGCATATTTTCTGTACACACCACGTGTATACTTTCGCGTTTATTTATGAGAGCTTTCTATGCGCGACCTTCGATAAAATTGAAATTCATACCAGCAAGCCTAATTGTAACGCTAAAGCATGTATATAAAGCGAACGAAATAAGGAGAGAGGATATCTGTCTCTGAATATCCGCGTCTCGTTTTCAGTGCTCAGCACCGCGCGATCTTTAATCTCACGTGTTCAATGTCGATGTAAAAATACAAAATCTGAGACTCTAAGGATCTGCGCTTCCGAACGCGCCGAATAAAAAGCGATTTGCACGTGTCATCAGATGACCCGATCCGCGCATCATGGTGATGCCCAGACGATCGCTCCAATCACGATAACCAAGAGAATATTTTCATATTTTGTGTACAGCAGGTATAGCGATTATTGCTCGCTCGCACACGAGCAACGAAACACCGTCGGCAGGAACGCCTAGGTCTTACTGTTCACCGCGGACACCCGGTACGATAACCGCGGATGATTGCGCGCCACGAACGCAACAGATCGCTACGTTATTATTTTCGCCAGTTATCGAATTAGATGTTGGCTTAACGGGTACGTACAGCGTAGTCCCCGCATACCCGTTTCATAGGCGTACATACATGCGGCTCGCCGTCGCAGCTCGTTCCGACGAACCTCTCTTACTTCGAACGCGCACGCGTCATTGTCATTCGCGAATGAACAAAGTTTAATCGCTCGAATAATATCTCGGTCCTTCGATCTCGCCGAAAAAGGGAGTCTTGGCTCGCGTCTTGGCGTCTTGGCGTAAATAAAGGAAAAATGTCCGCGGCGAATGTTGCTCACGGTTGCTCGCTCAAAGCAGCGCTCAGTCCTCGACAATTAAGATAAAACAATCGCAATTCTCCGCCAGTTAGCTGCGCGCGTTTTAATGCGTGCGTAGGAAGGAATAAAAATCACGTAAATCATGAGCGCGTTGCGTGTATTCACGTGGTATGCCACACGCGAAGTTGTCTCTAAGCGCGAGCACGCACTCACGTACAAAGTATTTTCGGATTATGAGCCATCTAGAGAGCAAGACAGACTGGGAAAAAATGAGACTAAACTCTGTCTGATTTTCGCCTTCCCCAAGAATGTCAGGAGAAAAAGAGAACAAAGAGAAGGTATGATCGATCCAATCTGAACTTGAAGTGAGACTTACTGGATTTCTTTCGTACGCGACGAAATGAAGGAGCAACGTAGAGATCGCGGAGGAGGATTGCCGAAAATTGTCAATATCGCTCGACCGTTTGACGGCTCGAAGTGGTCGACGATACCTGCTCGTCGCCTCCTGGGGAATAAGACGCTTCCTTCGCCGGAAGGAGAAGCGACACGACCGCGAGTCCGGTTCTACCGATCGTCGTCACGTCGACGTGCTTTATGTCGCCCCTTTTGCATAAACGCGCTCAATTTGCCCGGACGGGGCTGTAAATTATGCCGATTCAAGAACGTACCGCGGATGACGCCCATGGGCTCTCTCTCTTTCTCTGTCTCTCTCTCTCTCTCTCTCTCTCTCTCTCTCTCTCTCTCTCTCTCTCTCTCTCTCACACACACACCTCCTTGTCCACCCATCCCCTGTACACCCGCCGTTTCTGCGCCCCCCTTGTTCCCCCCTCTTCCCGCCGTCTCGCCCGCGATTTCTCTCCTCCTTCGTTGCCACGGACGTAGGGGCATCCCCCGAGATTACGGCTCACTCGTTACTACCTACAACGTACTTACGTTACTTTTAGAACTGCTTATTACTGTGATTACCGGCGCATAATGCGGCGACCGAGCCGTTCTACAATTTATTATTGAATTGCTATAATACGGACCGGGGAAGGGCATCGCTCGACACGCCGACGTTGTTATATACACGTTGTGTTGCGGAAAACGTAATACGACTCCGAGAGCCCTCCCGCCAGCGCGCAATGAAAAGTTGACACACCCGACGAGCGCGATTCGAAACGCTGTGAATTCTACCTGTGATGATCGTCGATCGGCCGACCAGACTTTTTCTCGGATCCGATTTTGCGAACGAATTGAATATCCACCAGGCGATACTATGATACGTCCGAGAAAATGAACGCGACGCTACGGTGGTACATAAGACAGACGGTAAAAAGAAATTAATTGTTGCAATCTCGTGTTTACCCGCCTAGGGAGAGAGAGGGAGAGGGAGAAAGAGAGAGAGACAGAAAAATAATTTACAAAGCATTTAGCGGAACATTCTTCACTCCGGGTATATAATCGACAGATCGTTCCGATGAATTTTTCCTCTTTCGACGATGTGAAATGCGGAAGAGGATGCCCAAGGCGTGGAGTCCGCTGAACTATACACGTGTATACACACAGAGAAGATATATACATGCACAATGCACGCATATGCGCATGCACAAGCACGAACACACACAGGTGCTTCGAACGCATTGGACAAAATCACCGGTCTGGCCTCCTATCCGCCTATTTCGATGCTATTCATTGTTACTTTCATGCGTGATTGGCCGCGCTCAGATGGTTGCACAAAATAACACATCCTAGTCGAAACGCCATGAGCCGCGACGTGTGGGGGAGCAAGGTGATTCCTCCTCATACAGGCGAATCCCGCTCTGTGTTGCATTTTCTTTTATAAAGTGCATGTTGCAACGTGCGTGAGAGATCGTACAAACAACATTAAGGGACCCAGTAAATGTACAAGACAATGTGCCCAGGGAATGGTTAGGCTTAGTAATCAAACTGCTTCGCAAAGATTAATGATCCCTCGATTTTCAAGACTTTCTTTTAATAAAAAATAATAAGTAGAAATTGAATTTTGACAAATTATGCACGTCAATTTTCTAACAAGCCATTTGAATAAATTCATCGATTACAATAAAAATAATCTGACATTTCGTCATTTTAAGGTCAAAGAGATAATTTATACGAAAAATGCAAAATATAAATGATTGTTGATTGTTGATTTTGTGCAACCATAAAAAATTCTACCATTGTAAACTATAAATCTCTTCAAATCACTCATATTTTCTACGTTTTACTTCTTCATTATTTCTGTTTTCAAAACTAAAATATATTTTTGTATCCCATTTGTATCCCTTCTTTCAAGTATATATCAAGAGTACAGAAATGCAGATACACTAAGAAGCTATAACAGATTACTATTTAACCAACCGAATGACTCTAAACCACGAGAGAGTGTTGCAAGTCTTTGACAATGATGGCGCACTCAATACATTAAAGGCGCGTGTGACCAAACAGAACCTATAACCGAATATTGGGTTTGTTTTTTATAGCTGCACTGCTGAACTGGTGCAATAAGTTAAAATGAGACAATTATATTTTTCCTCACTCTAACTTATTGCACTAGTTCAGCAGTGCAGCTATAAAGAACGGACCCATTATTGTGAGTATAATTTACAGAATTTACAGAAGTGCAAAAGTAAAACTTCTTAGTCATATAACTGTATATACTTCGGAATGAGCTAAAGACACGGTGATCCCAATTTGATCACTATATCGGAAGAAAAAAGAAATTATTGTGAATATAATGTTGAGAAAGAGAGAGAAACGTGAGGAATTTTGAGTGTATGTTATAATAATTATAATAATCTCGATAAGAATACTTTCTCCGCAGCAATTAACACAAGTTACACAAAAAAGATTGGCTAAAATATGTGATCATAAATAACAAAGATGTTGCGACGACAAGCACGATTACATAGAGAATATCTACAGGAAGTCTAGGACAATATGAAAGGAATCCAGGAGAAAAAATTAAGCTGAAATGTTGCCTGGAAGAGGACATACCTATTCATCCAGATCTATGTAAAAATGCCTTATATGTGCAGAGGAAGATGGAATGATACAGGGAAAAATACAGGGCTGGAGATGGTAGCAGCCATGGGAACAGAGATGTAATATGCCATATGGGCTTACCATATGGATCTGCAGCCTATTTCACATTGTCCGATGTCATAATGAGACACGATATACATTGGCACAATGTCAGAGCAGTATCTACATTTAATTTTGTACAACTTCAAAACTAAATTGGGTCAGCGAGTGATGAATATTCTAAAGTATCTGTTTCCTATACCAAAGGAAGACAGCAAGAGAGTAATCACTTTTGCCAATCACGATGACTACATATGTTTCAGACATCATATACATAAGAAAACATGGCAAGGATGTTGAATTGTCAAAAGTAAGACTATATTTTCAAATGAAGCTATATGAAATTAAACTGAGTATTTTAGACATTGCTGCAACAACTGAATGGGCCTTGGGCAACAAGATGTTATATAATTCTATTATAATATGTCAGTTGACTGAATATTTATAAATAAATTTTTATATCATCAATATTTGTGTATAGGATAAATAATTCCAATGTATAATACATATGTTACAAATATTTCTACTTGTAACATGTAATATTCTATATATATATGTAAAATAAATATTTATATTTTAATATATATTAAGTGCCTCTTGAATTCAAAAATAATAACATACAGTATGTGTGTTATAAGCACAAATAGAGAGTTAATATTTCTATTTCAGTATCTATTATTTTGTACTTGAAGGAAATAATATAAGAGGAAGGAGAGAGAGGGCATATATATTAATACATAAATTATCACCATTACTTTTAGATTGTTAGATTGTAGAAACAGTAATGTAAACTTACCGTAATAACATATTGAATTTGTATTTTAAATTTATTTATATATATAATGTTACGTCTTATGCTCGATGCGATGAAAATCTAATTCGACTAAATATCTCATTTTGGCGCCAGCCATTTTGTCGCTTCTCTTCCTCCTTCGGTTTCTCCCTTCCCTCCTTCCACGACTAATAATTCGTATATAAAATCTAACTTTATACACATCTCTACGTTTCGCAGTACAATAGATGTGACTCATGTTATATGAATATATACTAATAAGACGTAAATTTAACTACAAAAAGGGTTGTGAGTCGGCAATGCAATCATAATTTTCGAACGATCGTTTAGCCGCTACAGTTAAGAATGAAAAGTATACGCCCGACTATGAGATAGGCAAATATATCGCATCAGTCGTCGCAAATTAATATGCCAAACGAACCTTTCAATCCGATTCTACTCCATCCTCGAAGATCTCCTGCAATTTCCTCCTGATTACCGTTATTTTGTGCGATTCACGACGCAGTAGAAAATTTACGATGTCACCGTTGTAGATTTCCTAAAAATGGCCTACCACTTGAAGTGAGCTCGCAATTCAAAGTTTGAAATATTGCGCCGCGCATGCGCACTACGTTTGCACTACTTTTAAACACGTATGGCGAGCAGCAATTGTTTTTCAGACAGTCATATGAATAAATAGAACCGCATTTCGTCAGTCAGTTAGTGCAGAAGAGATCGCAGTAGTATACGTGTCGGTAAGAATCATCATCGTTTGGAGGTTGTGACTACGTGGTCGTTCTACATCATCGTCATGCCAAAGTTCGTTCGTAAGCCCGCGAAATCCGTCAAGACGCCACGGAGCGGAAAACACGCAGATCAGCGGAAGGACGCTATGGATATGTTCGGCTCGCCAAAACGACAGAAGAACGATGGTGAGATCGGTTTTCGCCGTGTCGTTTGCAACCACATCGGTTAGCTAGATCGTTTGCTTGCTCTTACTGATATCGCTTGCAGTGAAATCGCATGATTTGCGCGCATTCGTAGAAAATCCCGGAGTTTTCTTTGTGCGATATTCTGTTGTGATTTCTGGCATTTTCAAGGTGCTAGCGCTTCGGCATACACGGCGGGTAATCGCCGTACTAACCGACGTATACATTTGCCCTCTGTTTGTGGTTAGAATGTTGAAAATCTTATTTCAGAAACTAATGTCGATTATGCTGAACTACATTTCTGTACTTGTAATAACGAATATAACGATGGTAAAGATTCCTTTATATGCTGCTTGAACTTTTTACAATCGGTCATTTATACATATAACAACTCTTGTCAGACAATTGTGCCAAAGTATTCAAATTTGTTATTAAAATTTATCTCGGTCTTGTTTTTTCCTCTTCATTTTATTTATCATGTGCTCTATAAGAAATATCTAATTAACTGAATAATTGATTGTTACATGCATATAATACACTACGTAATTTTCATAGAAAAGAATTTAGCAAAGAGAGAAACTGAGAGTTGTACTGCGACTGGCTGCCAACAACTTTAATAGCTGATATCTTATAGCCTGCGTGTAGAAGTGTAGACCTTGTCTCTCTATATAGTGTCTATCCTGAATCTATAGATGTCTCAGCTTGGTAGTTAGCTATTGCAAAGTACATTAGACTCTTTCCTTTTTTTTGGCAAGGTGCAGTCTGCTTTATCTTTCAGATCTAGAGGTCACGGGTATCTCGCGCAGTGGCCGGGTGAGGAAGAAATCCTCCAAGCTCGTTGACTTTGAATCACCCGATGACCTTGCTGAAAATAAACATAAACGGCAAATAAAGGCACAGCAGCATGCTCATCAGCAACTGTTGGAACAATATGAAGTACAACCACATCAGCAACAACAAATATCACCCATACAATCGGTTCAACCGAATAGCGGTGGACGACAAAGAAAGAATTCTGATTCTAATCAGTTACAGCAAAGAATCAAGACAGAGCCACCCATGTCTGACAATGATGGACAGTCGTCAGCTTCAGATTCCGATGATCCCTCTGGGATAAATGAAGATGAGAGATATAGTATGGATTCGGGAAGCGACAATGAAGCTGATCCCCTTATGATAGATGACAGAGAAACAGGGTTTAGGAAACTAGAGCCACCTGCAGGTCAGGAAACACCATCACAAGCAAATAGTTTATATATGCTTGAAAAGTGTAAGAAAAAGTTAATTATTAAAGATGGAAAAATTATAGGCAAGACAAAGGCTCAACGCAAAGATAAAGGGGTATGTACTAAGTGATGAATGATGCAGAAGAGTGGTGCCTTAATCTTTTGATATTTTTAGAAGACGAGGTTTACCGCTTACATGCTATGGGCAAAGAAAATTAGGCAAGAACTATTAGAGCAATCTCCTTACATGGGTATCTAAGCTGTATTTATTTATTTTTTTTTTTTTTTTTTTTTTTTAGCAAAAGCGCATGCGACTTTGATGTTGTTTTATATGATTGTTGCTTTTTGTAGATTTCGCGGCAATTTCTAAACGATTAGGAGAGCTATGGGCTACAGTACCACATCTGGAAAAGTATAATTGGCGCAGGCGTGCAAAACGCTTAGCAGCAAAGCCTCATTCTTTACCAACCAGTAAAGATGAACCTATCTGGAAAATGCCACCACCCGCCTCGCGAAAAAAATTCATTAATAAAATTGGTGGGTTTGTTGGTTCTTGTAATATAGGCAGTTATGATATGTATGTTAATATGTTATGTGGTAGTATACATATAGTATATATATATATATATATATATATATACATTTGTATATTTTTCCCTCTCGTGCATGCGTGCATTAGCGGAAAATATCGGATCAAATATATCCGTCTCTTTCTCTGTCTCTGGTTTTTCTCGTAGTTGTTACTTTTTCGTTTGTCTTATGCGTGCATGAGTTTCGTTTAAAATAAATATTCAGTACGACATTAACAAGTCATATTCTTGTATGCATTGCATTTCAGGTAATGGTAAAGAGACGAAGCCTGCTTCTACAAAAAAGACTATTCAACTCGGCGTGCCGTCCGTCGTGGGCAATATTCCGGTTTCACCACCAGCGAATCGCACCGGCAAAGATATGGTGAATGAGCCAGTAATCGGTACTGGAATGTACAAAGTTATCGGGACACAACCCATTGATGTCGCAGCTCATCTAAAACTGCTTGGTGAGAGCCTGACAATTATCGGGGAACGCTTGAAGGAACACGACGGTCAGATTGCGGTTTCCGGCAGCCTCTCGGTGTTATTGGACTCGTTGCTCTGTGCCTTAGGTCCGTTGGTTTGTTTAACGCAACAAGTGTCGGAAACTAACGGAGCTAAACCCGAAACGCTCTCTCAAATGCTCGACAACATTGCTTACTTAATGCCCGGTCTATAATATATGTACAAAGTATATAAAGTATACGACACAGATGAAGTAAATACATAAAACACATAAAATTACTTAGAGCAGTGTAAATAGAAATATACTGAAAATAGACAAAGAATAGGAAAGTGATAGAGATCTTTTACTCGTAAGAGAGCGTGAAAATAAAATTGGAAACGTGAATCGCTAACTTACGCTGAGAATTCAAATTGTTGGAAAAAAAGATCCTTATTGTATTTTAACTGTTCGCCTCAAAAAGGAATATAATGTTTTACATAAATAATATATTTGTATAAAAGTGATAATAAATATTTAACTAGTCCTATTATATAAAGCTAACTGTACATGTTGTGCGATAACGACGTCACGGCTACTGCTCTGGCAGAATAGGTGGGCACGTACAGAACAGATTCTTGTCGCCATATATATCGTCTATCCTTCCGACGCTTGGCCAAATCTTGTTTTTTCGCACAAATGGCTAAGGTGACGATTAAAATTTCGATTAATACACACGTTCAGCTAGAAAACCCGGTAAAGTGCTCATGATATACTCACAGCGGGAAAAGCCGCTAACTCTCGTGAATACAGTCTATTCCATTCGCTCGTGATCACTTGTTCCTGCGTATGAGGTGCCATTTTCAAAGGATTCTGCACAATATCTAACTTTCCTCCTTCGATATCGGCAATCTCGTTTCTTATAGCTGTAGCAAAAGAAATGTAAACTTGAGCAAGCGACGAGAATATTGACGCTTAAAGTATCTAGTAACAATCGTTTTTTAAAAAAACAACTTACAAATTAGAGAATCGCAAAATCTATCCAGCTCAGTCTTATCCTCAGATTCAGTCGGCTCGACCATTAAAGTCCCAGCAACAGGCCAGCTCATGGTCGGCGCGTGGAAACCATAATCCATCAATCTCTTGGCAATGTCAACTGCTTCGATGTTGGCAGTCTTCTTTAGGTCTCTCACGTCTAGAATGAACTCGTGCGCGACTAGCCCGGCCTCTCCTTTATACAACGTTTTGTAATGTCCCTCCAGTCTCTTGCTCATGTAATTGGCATTGAGAATAGCCACCTGCGTAGCTTTGCGTAAACCTTTCGGGCCCATCATCTTGATATAAGCCCATGAGATCGGTAAAATAGCGGACGATCCGAAAGGCGCAGCCGAGACAGCACCTAGAGTCCTAATGTCGTCGTTGTTGTCGCCATTGCCCGAACAATTTATTACTGGATGACTCGGTAGGAAAGGTGTAAGATGTTTCTTTCTGTAAGTTAAATTTAAATTTTCGCAAATTACATAAGAATCGCATAATTCTCGACGAATGTAAACTCTAGGATAGGGAGAGAAACGTTCACTTACACTCCGATAGGACCCATACCGGGCCCACCACCTCCGTGAGGAATGCAGAAGGTTTTGTGCAAGTTGAGATGCGACACGTCGCTGCCGTAATCGCCGGGCCGACACAGGCCGACCTGAGCATTCATGTTGGCGCCGTCTAAGTACACTTGTCCGCCAGCGGTGTGCACCATGTCGCATATGTCGCCGACCGTCTCCTCGAACACACCGTTCGTCGATGGATACGTTATCATCAAGCACGACAAAGTCTGCCGGTACTTGTCAACCATCTCCGTCAAGTGCGCCATGTCGACAGAACCGTCCTTGCGCACGAAAATCGGCTCCACCTGCATACCCGCCATTTGGGCGGACGCGGGATTCGTGCCGTGCGCCGATGTCGGGATCAAGCACACCTGCCTGCACTTGTCACCCCTGGACTCGTGATAACACTGTATCGCCCTCAAGCCTGCATATTCACCCTGAGCCCCGCTATTCGGTTGGAAACTGACGGCGTCGTAGCCAGTAATCGCGCACAGATCTTGCTCCAGTTCGGCAAACAGTCGCTGATAACCCTTGGCCTGTTCGACCGGAGCGAAGGGATGTATGTCTGTGAAGCCTTTCAAGCTGCAAGGCATCATCTCCGTTGTCGAGTTGAGTTTCATCGTGCAGGAACCCTGGTGAATGATAACGCTAAGATAAAGCAGAAGCACGAGCTCGGGTCTGTTCGCCGCCTATGAGATAAATTCTCGCTTACCAATGGAATCATGCTATGTACAAGAGATACATCCTTGTTCTCCAGAGATTTCATGTATCTAACTATCCTTGTCTCGGAATGATAGCTGTTGAAGACAGGGTGTTGCAGGTACGGAATGGTACGGTGGAAGTCGTCCGATTTGTCCAAGCTTCTCGCAAGGTAACTTTCGTTCCTGACGACATTATTCACCGTGGTATTCGCCGAGAATATCTTAAAGAGATCATTCACGTCCTCTATCGTCGTTGTCTCATCGAGAGATATTCCAACTGTACCGTCGTTATGGTATCTACAAGTTTTCATGGGATCACAATAGACTGTTTTTCAGTGCCTATTTAACAGATTATCGTCGCGTTTCAAACACTGCGCATTTCGCACAGCGTCAGACACAAACCTTAAGTTTATCTTAGCTTCCCTCGCGTTCTCCTTCACCGTCTGAATAGGGATCTTCGGCGACACTCTGATGGTGTCGAAGAAATATATATTCTTGATCATGTTACCCGCTGTTTCCAAGCCGTTAACAAGAACCAACGTTAAATTGTGCACTCTGCTCGCGATGTTTCGTATACCTTGTGGTCCATGGTACACCGCATACATCGCAGACATATTAGCCAACAAAGCTTGTGCAGTGCAAATATTACTGGTGGCTTTGTCCCTTCTGATGTGTTGCTCACGCGTCTGAAGGGCCAACCGGTAAGCCTCTCGCCCGCCGGAGTCTCTCGTCACACCTATCATCCTGCCGGGCATCAGCCGCACCAGCTTCTGCCGGCAGGCGAAGAATCCAGCGTGGGGTCCGCCGTATCCGAGAGGAACTCCGAAACGTTGACTGGTGCCCACGCATATGTCGACTCCGAATTCGCTCGGTGGTTGAAGCACAGCCATCGCTAGCAGATCGGTGGCAGAGCACACAAGCGTCTGATAAGACATATAAGGTATCGATATGTTATATCATTATATATACTAACTAAATAAAAAATTAACTAATTTAATAAGAAAGTTTCCAATGTGTTACAATGTTTGACAATACACGTACTCCGTTAGCCTGCGCTTTCTGAACAATGTCCGTGAAATCGTGTATACAGCCGTTCGTGTCGGGATATTGTATGAGGATACCGGCGATGTCCTTCGCGCTCGTGTCCACTCTAAAGACATCTCCAATTTCCAGGGTGAGGCCCAAGGAAGTGGCACGCGTCGCGACCACGCTGACAGTCTGCGGATGCGCCTTGTCGGAGACGAACAACTTCTTCCGTCTGTTGTACCTGCAGGCGAGGGTCAAAGCTTCGGCCGCTGCCGTCCCTTCGTCCAAGAGGGAAGCATTCGCCACTTCCATCCCGGTTAAATCGCATATCATGGTCTGGTAGTTGAGCAAACCTTCCAGCCTTCCCTGCGAGATCTCCGGCTGATAAGGAGTGTACTGCGTCGTCCTGCAACGAGATGCGGCAAGATTTTTCTTCTAAAATTTTACGTTTACTAACTATTTTATTTTATTTTTCGGCGAGTTACTTACCATCCTGGATTTTCAAAGATATTGCGCATAATCGTGTGCGGCACACAGCAATTGTTGTAGCCCATGCCTATGTAAGAACGCCATACTTCATTTTCTTCCGAAATTTTTGTGACTCGCTTCATCAGCTCGTACTCGGCTGCAAAAAGATGGATCTGCATTGATATTTCGTAATAATATAAAATTCATTCTGTTGACCAATTCATAATCAAAATTATAATCGTCGAAGCGTATACGATTGGCAAAATGTAATATTCTAGCATACTATGTGCACATGTACGTAATGTCACGATAAGATAATGAATTTATAAATTTCTGACGACAATCGAGAAAATCACATGAAGCGGAACGGATGCACGAGATTGAACTGTGACCTTGATTAAAAACGCTATAATTTCTCGAACTTTCCGCACAACATATCTCGAAAGTTGATTGCGTTACAAAATTTAGGTCTAGTTGATATAGTGCTTGATAGAATTGCATTAATTATTGACATCGTATTTAATTGTACAATGTATTTATACATTATAAATGTACGTATTAACGAGGATCGTGTTCGACGAAATGCGTTATGATAACCGAAGGTTATCACTTTGAGGGCAGCTCGAGATGTAAAGTCGCGTGACTCGTCACGTTTCTACCAGAGATATACACGATTGCCACGTATCTTGCAAGGAAAAAAATATGAACACTATACTTCTGTATCTTGAAAGTTGGAAAAACATACATTGGTTTTTTTGCCCCTTCTGAGATATAGATTGTGTATTCATGAACATGTCTCAAGAGACCCCCTGCCTGATTCTATCGATTTTAAATAGAACAAAAACCAAACAATCTACTACTGAACTTGTGAAACTGTTGAATTTTATTAAAATTTAAAAATATTATACTTGTATACTGATTACAAGAATATATCACTCACTGAGAGGCTCGTCAATGCTCAAGTCTTTCTTGTGGAGAATTTTAGCCGGTACCGCCGCTTCCGTTAGTTCATTAAGGCTCTGAAATGCCAAATCGCAAGTGAAATTAATCAAGTCACAATCCAAATAGAGGTTTGCTCATTATACGGTGTTAATATCAAATGAATTACCTTGTATCCGATGGTTCGCAGCATTTTTAACTGTTCATGTTCCCTTGGTCCAATATGTCTCACTTGGAATTCTTCCTTTTGCGGAAGCATTCCTTCGAGTTTCTCCCTCTGCGAACTACTTGATTGCAATCCACGCGCGTGTCGAGTCGCGATATTGTGTTTGTGCAGTAATCTGCAACACCTTGCCATCTTCGAAGTGTACAACATTGTAATTTTTGATAGAAAATAACATGCACACACAAATTGTCGAGAAGAACGACCGCGTCGTGTGACTCACGATATTGCCACGTTATCGACGAGAGTCTCCGTAAAACTAAGAAATGTTAAACTCTTGACGGAGATTTTATATCCACTACATCATACTCCGATGTCACAATTTCTGATTACCGTTTGACTTGAACTCTGAGCTCTGTCTAAAAGGTCTAAAATAATATTTTGATATTTTGCAATTGTTATCACGCTTGTTATATATCTTGCAATATTTACAAATTTAACGCTCGATCTAATGTAGCTTAACAAAACTTCATCATTTTGTTTTTCGCAGCAGTTTCGCGGACGTTAAAGAAGATTATACGTGATATTGTATTTTTCATAAGTTTTATATTTTACCATTATTATATTCCCAGAGATATATTTTTAATTATATCAAATATAGCTAAAAATATATTAGTTATTTTAGAAATGTATATAAATACATATACACATACTTTACACTCTTTGTCAAACCTTTATTTGTGCAATCTATATTATTTATACAAACGACATATTTATACGTAAGATCAGTTTGTATGAAAATCTTTAGCAATATATATGTTCTTCGTTAATTATAATATTATACTAACATTACCATGCTATATATACAATTCAGGCAATTATCATTCTGATACGACAGAGAAAATTTGAAAATAGAATCTGATGAATCAATCACGAGTTGACCAAATTATTTTTTAGTCTGGATTCTGGAAAATGAAGGGAAGCAACTTCGAAGAAATTATTGTATTGAAGAATTACTGTAATACTTAATATTGTAATTTTTATTTCATAAATTTATCTTGATTTTGCGTCAATATTTTGGCAGACGACTTAGCATCTAAGAAAAGCGCTCTAACTTCGTCGACGTCTTCCTTTTTCACGCTGGTTCTCTCGTTGACCTTCGCTGCTAAGGACGCGGGTGTCAAAAGCTGTACTACATATCGCAGAGTGGTTTTTGTGCCGAGTTCAGCGAGAGCAGATAGACCGTCGTCTTCGATTTGTAAGCCTTCCGTGACGGCTCTCAGTTTCACGATCTGTTCGATCTCTTGCCTGGAATAAGGAAGAGTCCTGATGATGAGTAGACGATCCAACAGGTCGAGAGGTATGCCATGCGGAGAAATGATGTCTTCAGTGCCCCGAATTATGCAACGGCCACGATTTGTAGCAAAAATAACAATCGGTGCTATAGCGCTCTCCAGAGCACGGTGTAAGTACGTAAACGTCTCTATATCAAGCATGTGAACTTCATCTATGAACAATACTCCTGGCACTAGCTCAGCGATACCTTGATCGATATACTTGTTCACTACTTTATTTATTTCTTTCCGGAGCTTGTCTGAGAAATAATTTATATATATATATATAGTTAAATATATACTTCCATTTTCAGATAAAAGTGTACATGTTATAGAACAGTGCCCGGAATTACTTGCACGATCGGGCCGATTTCTGAGAGCTACGCCTCCTTACTTCCCCTTACCGCTCCAGCCCGCACGGCGGACCTAGAAACTGACAGTCGCGAGGCGCTGTCTCAGGCACGTCACATGAGACAGTCACATGAGACGCTTCACAGTTTAACATAGCTGAAATTAATTTATTTATTAAAACAACTCCATAGGCATTTTTTATAGTTTACTAATATAATATAGTCTTAATATTAATATAAATATATATTAATAGAAATATTAATATAAGTAATATTCTTAATATAACTATAATATACACTGTATACACTGTAATATTTCTATTAATATATATTTATATTAATATTAAGACTATATTATATTAGTAAACTATAAAAAATGCCTATGGAGTTGTTTTAATAAATAAATTAATTTCAGCTATGTTAAACTGTGAAGCGTCTCATGTGACTGTCTCATGTGACGTGCCTGAGACAGCGCCTCGCGACTGTCAGTTTCTAGGTCCGCCGTGCGGGCTGGAGCGGTAAGGGGAAGTAAGGAGGCGTAGCTCTCAGAAATCGGCCCGATCGTGCAAGTAATTCCGGGCACTGTTATAGAATGTTAGCAATTTATATTGAATTAAATAATGTATAAATAACACTTAAGTAAATAATGTATAAATAACACTTTTTACCTGTAATTTCTGTCTTTTTAGGTTTCATCAATTGCCCCATCATTGACATTATATCCTGACCTCCCTGTGGTTTAGCATTAGCTACATCCAAATCATGCAGTGTTACATCCTGGATAACTTCCTTCTTTTTATGTACATCACCTTTCGGTAATGGAACATATTCCTCCGCTTCCAAGTCAAATTCTGTAGCGAAATTGTCGCTTCGGCCTTGTCTCTTTACAGCACCGCTGTTTGCCTCAATATAGATTACATCACCAGTTTCTACCTTCTCTTTTTGCAAAGACTCATATATGGAAGGATCTAGCTTTAATTGTTTGGTACCCTTGGCTGTCTTTAAACCAATAACTACATGTGAGACAGTTTTGCCATAACCACCCATGGGATTCTCTGTTTCCACAGGTGTCAACTCTGTTACTTCACCCTCATATACTTCCTTTGTCTCTTTGATTCTCAAGCCAATAGCTCTTCTAAAGTTCTCCATGAGTACCTCTGTCTTCTTTATCTCAGAACTATAAACTTCTGAACCCACCATAGGACAAAAAGGTACTTTGTTACCAAGTTCTTGAGCAATAGCAAGAGCTATAGCAGTCTTGCCTGTGCCTGGTGGACCAGCCAATAATACAGCACGTCCTGCCATTCTCTTTGACTTTATCATATCGACAACAATTCCAGCTGCCTATGCAATGTAAATATTATAATTGAATGTCAAACCACTTTAATGATACACACACACACATATATATATATATGTTTGTTTTCCTTTTTGATCAACATACAAACAGACGACGAGTGTGAAAAGTCATTTCTTAGTGCGCAATTTTGACTTAAAAAATCTTATTTTCAACACAATCAAGAAAACAAACAAGTTTGTACGATAGTGTACGATTCTTATAGAAATATCGCTCTTAAGAAATTAACTAACCTCACGCGCCATTTCTTGACCCACAAGACCGGCTGCGTTTTGTATGGCGATACCATTCTCGTCGAGCCCCAAGCCCTTGATATGCGTGTGCGCGGAGATTCTCTGTGTTTTGGCAGTGCTTTTCACCTCCTCGATCTTCATCGTTGCGACTCTTCGTAAATCGAAACGGTAAGAGAATCAAGGAAGGCACGCATAAACACGTTGCTAGCGAGGTTTGTTTGGTTGATAATGTTTCTGTTGCTCTCACTCACACTCTCTCTCTCTCTCTCTCTCTCTTTCTCTCTTTTTCTCTCTCTCCCTTTCTCTCTTTTTTCACAATATTGGCTTTAGAAGCTTAATAAAAAATATATTAATAAATATAAAAAATTAATAATAAATATAACGGGTTAATATATTTTATACCCCTTATCCAACTTGTGGTTTGAGTCTCGGCTAAATTTATAGAGGTCGGTAATTTGTGATTCGAATCCCGACTTAATTTTAAGAAAGCAGGTAAATCATGGTTTAAATCTTGGCTATATCACTTTTTAACTGAAACACGAATCATTATTTACCAACCTCCACAAAATTTAGTCAAAACCACCGACGAGATACCATAAAGACTGTGGATATTTTTGTCTTTGTCGTCATCTTCGTCGTCGTCGTCGTCGTCTTCATCGTATTCGTCGTATTCGTTGTCTTCGTCGTCGTCTTCGTCGTCTTCGTCATCGTCTTCGTATTCGTCATCTTCGTCGTCTTTGTAATCGGTTGATATAGGACTATATTGCGGCAAAAGGCCCATTCCTGTATCTTTAACCAGTTAGGAGATAACAAAAGTTAAAACTTTTAAACTGTATTGTTAATATCTCCGCTTCTACTGGGAATTGAGAGTCGAGATTTATGGTGAGAATAGGGTTGATACAGGAATATATTGAGGTAAAAGCGCGTTCCTGTATCTTGAGCCGTTTAGGAGATACCAAAGGTTACATTTTTAAATTTTAAGTTAATTTTAATTGAAATTTGAATTTAAATGTTCATATCTCCGCTTCTACTGGGAATTGAGAGTCGAGATTTATGGTGAGAATAGGGTTGATACAGGACTATATTGAGGCAAAAGCGCGTTCCTGTATCTTGAGCCATTTAGGAGATACCGAAGGTTACATTTTTAAATTTTAAGTTAATTTTAATTGAAATTTGAATTTAAATGTTCATATCTCCGCTTCTACTGGGAATTGAGAGTCGAAATTTATGGTGAGAATAGGCTTGATACAGGACTATATTGAGGCAAAAGCGCGTTCCTGTATCTTGAGCCATTTAGGAGATACCGAAGGTTACATTTTTAAATTTTAAGTTAATTTTAATTGAAATTTGAATTTAAATGTTCATATCTCCGCTTCTACTGGGAATTGAGAGTCGAAATTTATGGTGAGAATAGGGTTGATACAGGACTATATTGAGGCAAAAGCGCGTTCCTGTATCTTGAGCCGTTTAGGAGATACCGAAGGTTACATTTTTAATTTTAAGTTAATTTTAATTGAAATTTGAATTTAAATGTTCATATCTCCGCTTCTACTGGGAATTGAGAGTCGAGATTTATGGTGAGAATAGGGTTGATACAGGACTATATTGAGGCAAAAGCGCGTTCCTGTATCTTGAGCCGTTTAGGAGATACCGAAGGTTACATTTTTAATTTTAAGTTAATTTTAATTGAAATTTGAATTTAAATGTTCATATCTCCGCTTCTACTGGGAATTGAGAGTCGAGATTTATGGTGAGAATAGGGTTGATACAGGACTATATTGAGGCAAAAGCGCGTTCCTGTATCTTGAGCCATTTAGGAGATACCGAAGGTTACATTTTTAAATTTTAAGTTAATTTTAATTGAAATTTGAATTTAAATGTTCATATCTCCGCTTCTACTGGGAATTGAGAGTCGAAATTTATGGTGAGAATAGGCGTGATACAGGACTATATTGAGGCAAAAGCGCGTTCCTGTATCTTGAGCCGTTTAGGAGATACCGAAGGTTACATTTTTTAATTTTAAGTTAATTTTAATTTAAATTTGAATTTAAATGTTCATATCTCCGCTTCTACTGGGAATTGAGAGTCGAAATTTATGGCGAGAATAGGGTTGATACAGGACTATATTGAGGCAAAAGCGCGTTCCTGTATCTTGAGCCGTTTAGGAGATACCGAAGGTTACATTTTTAAATTTTAAGTTAATTTTAATTGAAATTTGAATTTAAATGTTCATATCTCCGCTTCTACTGGGAATTGAGAGTCGAGATTTATGGTGAGAATAGGGTTGATACAGGACTATATTGAGGCAAAAGCGCGTTCCTGTATCTGGAGCGTTTAGGAGATACCGAAGGTTACATTTTTAAATTTTAAGTTAATTTTAATTGAAATTTGAATTTAAATGTTCATATCTCCGCTTCTACTGGGAATTGAGAGTCGAAATTTATAGTGGGGATAGGGTTGATACAGGACTATATTGAGGCAAAAGCGCGTTCCTGTATCTTGAGCCGTTTAGGAGATATCGAAGGTTACATTTTTAAATTTTACGTTAATTTTAATTGAAATTTGAATTTAAATGTTCATATCTCCGCTTCTACTGGGAATTGAGAGTCGAGATTTATGGTGAGAATAGGGTTGATACAGGACTATATTGAGGCAAAAGCGCGTTCCTGTATCTTGAGCCGTTTAGGAGATACCGAAGGTTACATTTTTTAATTTCAAGTTAATTTTAATTGAAATTTGAATTTAAATGTTCATATCTCCGCTTCTACTGGGAATTGAGAGTCGAGATTTATGGTGAGAATAGGGTTGATACAGGACTATATTGAGGCAAAAGCGCGTTCCTGTATCTTGAGCCGTTTAGGAGATACCGAAGGTTACATTTTTAAATTTTAAGTTAATTTTAATTGAAATTTGAATTTAAATGTTCATATCTCCGCTTCTACTGGGAATTGAGAGTCGAGATTTATAGTGAGAATAGGGTTGATACAGGACTATATTGAGGCAAAAGCGCATTCCTGTATCTTGAGCCGTCTTGGAGCGCGCCGAGAGACGTAGCCGAGGACAGCGATACATCATATATGGTATTCGAGGTACCTTGAGTTATTATTATTACGCATTATTATTTTTCTGATTTTAACGGACCTTACTCGAAATAAGGACATACCCGAGTCGAAATTAGATCAGCATTCATAGTTTATATTTTGAAAAATGATAAAATAGCTTGAGATTTGATTATTCCTCCGATTAACCTAATTTCACGTAACATGAGTTCTACTTTTCTTTTCACATAAAATATGAATGTCTATTCAAGCAAGGTTGCTGAGGCAAGCTGAGGATTATCAATACAAATTTGTAATTATGTTCTCAATGAAAAATTGCACATAATTTAAAAAACTATGAGTAATGATCTTAGAATCTGATATAAATTTTACAAGTGTTGATTTTTATTCGTCTAATAATGCTCGGATTGCTGTTTTTGTTTAGAATCTGCTAGAATGTCCGTTTCTCATTCTTGTTTATCTTTCTTATTATACCGAATCTGAATTAAAATCTCTATTAGTGAAACAGCATTATTAGACATAACCGTTGTCTTTTTGCAGCTTCAGCTCTTTTGAGAGCTACAATTCTCATCATTCTCATTAGAAAAAAGAAAAGAAAAAAAAGAGAAGAAAAAAGGAAAAAAGAATTTTAAGAATGATGAGAATTAAAAGTGTTTTTCATCTCCCCATTTCCTCTAATTCTTGTATGATTATTTAATCCTTATATATTTATCTCACGCGCAGTTCTAACAAAGGCAGTTCTATTTACGTTTTTATCTTTGTTCTCTTTCTTGCGCTGTTAAGCGAATATATAATCGACATCAACAAAAATTGCTCATTTAAATTAAGAATATAAGGATTAAGTACACATACATTATCGAGATAAACGAGTATTAAATAACTGCGGAATACGTCGCTGTTGAAGACTCATCATGGGCGAGACTGCGAGAGTAGCCAGATGTAACGTTCAGGTAGTACAAAGCTTGTTCACTATTGCGCATCTAGATATTCCGCATTGATTTTTCAAATTGGATGCAATTTGCAGGATCAATGTAGAATTAATATTTCGACTCGGGAAAGACTCGGGAATGAGAACGAATTGTCATTGCACTTGGACAATCTTCTGACACTGATTTCTCGTATTGATCGATATTCGATTTTCGATACTGATTTACTCTTTCATTCCTCTACAAGAAAAAAAATTGATACGACTCGTTCATTTACCCGCGTCAATTTGATGAATAAATTAAATATTGATCGGTCTTCAATTTTCGGTACTGATTTATTCTCTCATTTCTTTATAAGGCAAAAAAAATTGATACGAATCGTTCGTTTATCCGAGTTAATTTGTTGAATAAGATTAGAGGGGTAAGTACCTGAAAAATGAAAACAAATTGTCATTGCACTTGGACAATTTTTTGACACTGATTCACGGTATTGATCGATATTCGGTTTTTGATACTGATTTTTACGCTTTTATTTCTCTATAAGAAAAAAAAATTTATACGAATCGTTAATTTATCCGAGTTAATTTGTTGAATAAATTAAATATTGATCGGTCTTCAATTTTTGTTACTGACTGATTCTCTAATTTCTTTATAAAAGAAGAAAAATTGATACGAATCGCTCTTTTATCCGACTTAATTTATTGAATAAGATTAGTGGGGTAAGTACTTGAAAAATGTAAAAAATTGTCATTGCACTTGGACAATTTTCTGACACTGATTTACGGTATTGATCGATATTCGATTTTCGGTACTGATTTACTCTTTCATTTGTCTATAAGAAAAAAAAGTTCTTACGAACCGTTCATTTATTCGCGTTAATTTGATGAATAAATTAAATATTGATGAGTCTTCGGTTTTCGGTACTGATTTATTTTCTCATTTTTTTATAAGAGAATAAAAATTGTTACGATTCGTTCTTTTATCCGACTTAATTTGTTGAATAAATTAGTAGGGTAAGTACCTGCGAAATGGAAACAACTTGTCATTGACTTGGACAATTTTCTGACACTGATTTATGGTATTAATCGATATTTGGTTTTCGGTACTGATTTATTTTCTCATTTTTTTATAAGACAAAAAAATTGATACGAATCGTTCGTTTATCCAAGTTTGTTGAATAAGATTAGAGGGGTAAGTACCTGAAAAATGAGAACAAATTGTCATTGCACTTGGACAATTTTTTGACACTGATTTATGGTATTAATCTATATTCGATTTTCGGTACTGATTTACTCTTTCATTTGTCTATAAGAAAACATAAAATTAATACGAATCGTTTATTTGTCCGCGTTAATTTGATGAATAAATTAAATATTGATCGGTCTTCAATCTTCGGTACTGATTTATTCTCTCATTTCTTTATAAGAAAAGAAAAATTGATACGAATCATTCATTTATTCGAGTTAATTTGTTGAGTAAATTAGAGGGGTAAGTACCTGAAAAATGAGAACAAATTGTCATTGCACTTGGACAATTTTCTGACACTGCTTTACGGTATTGATCGATATTCGATTTTCGGTACTGATTTACGCTTTCATTTCTCTATAAGAAAAAAAAATGCATACGAATCGTTCATTTATTCGCGTTAATTTGATGAATAAATTAAATATTGATGAGTCTTCGGTTTTCGGTACTGATTTATTTTCTCATTTTTTATAAGAGAATAAAAATTGGTACGATTCGTTCTTTTATCCGACTTAATTTGTTGAATAAATTAGTAGAGTAAATACCTGCAAAATGAAAACAACTTGTCATTGCACTTGGACAATTTTCTTGACATTGATTTATGGTATTGTTCAGTCTTCGGTTTTCGGTACTGATTCATTTTCTCATTTTTTTATAAGACAGAAAAAATTGATACGAATCGTTCGTTTATCCGAGTTAATTTGTTGAATGAGATTAGAGGGGTAAATACCTGAAAAACAAGATCAAATTGTCATTGCACTTGGACAATTTTCTGACACTGATTTATGGTATTAATCAATATTCAATTTTCGGTACTGATTTGCTCTTTCATTGTACTATAAGAAAAGAAAACATTCATACGAATCGTCCATTTATCCGCGTTAATTTGATGAATAAATTAAATATTGATCGTGCACGATAGGGGAGAGAAGGAGAGGGATGGGGATAGGTGATAGAAAGGCTGCTAGAAGAGGGGGGAGGGAGAGGTGGATGAGAGAGGTTGAGAAGTGGAGGGGGCGAGAGGGTGGAGGAGGAGGAATAAAAGGATGAGAGAGAGAGAGAGAGCGAAGGAGAGAGTGTGAAGGAATGGAATGAATAGAGGAAAGCGAAAATCGGCGGTAGGAAATAAGAATTATAGGAGTAACAGCGGCATAGAAATATATAATCTATTCTTATACATACATATGTATAAGAATAGATTATAAGCGAACAATTAATTATAAGAGATAAGCGAGCGAGTAGATGTAAGATATTTGTAAAGTAGATTTAAGGAGAGGCGGGGATGGAAGTGTGTGTGTGTGTGTGTGTGTGTGTGTGTGTGCGAGCGGGTAGGGGCGAGCGTAATAGGAAGTAAGGAGAGCTTATATTGGAATTTGTAACCCCGCCAGGGGAATCAATAAAGTGTATATACAATTAAATATTGATTGGTCTTCAATTTTCGGTACTGAATTATTTTCTCATTTCTTTATAAGAGAAGAAAAATTGATACGAATCGTTTGTTTATTCGTGTTGATCTGTCGAATAAAGTAGAGGGGTAAGTAACTGAGAAATGCAAACAGATTGTCATTGCACTTTGACAATTTTTCGACATTAATTTACGATATTGATCAATAATCAATCTTCGATATTGATATGGATAATATTTTTCGATACGGATTTACTCTTCTTTTACTTCTGTACGAAAGAAAAAGAGAAATTGACACAAATCGTTCGTTTATCCCAATTACTTGTTTGAATAAATTTTAGAATTGAATAAAATTTTAAATTGATTAAAATTTAGAATTGAATAAAGTTTAGGATTGAATAAAGTTTAGAATTGTATAAAGTTTAGGATTGAATAAAGTTTAAGATTAAGTAGCAATTATAATACGTCCCGTATTATAACCCGCAATTATAGGCGTACCACAGACACGAACCGCCAGTAAATGGGCGTAGAACGGACACACACCAAATAGAGACTTTACCGGCAGCGTCTGCAAATGGGCGTAATCAACATAGTTCCCGGCTACAAATGGGCACAGATGGCGTTAAAATCAGTCATCAAAATGCATGTCGCCAAAAACGTCGGCGTGGCCGCTTTTAGCCAACCTTACGATTCAGCTTAGCATGTGAGTGGCGTTGGAGCATCTGTTGTATGCGCAGAGCCATCTATTAAAGAAGAAGAAGAAGAAGTAAACCCAACCTGGAGCTCAGTAGTACGGCAGATAACGTCCTAATGTTTATAACAATACGGGCTTACGATTGGTATAAGTTTTTAACTGTAATAACTTAACCAGTCATGATTGAAAGTGAGAAGAATAATTAAATGTGATTGATCTATTTGTTATACCTGGAAATTTATGACATCTGTGTGGATATGGAGTAGTTAAATGACATTTTTGCAACATAATTCAGAAACAGATAAAAAGAATATTTATGTTCAAAAATTAAAAACTTTGGTTTAATGCATTAATTTTACATATGTACACACACACACACACACTCTTACACAAGGTAGAAACCTGATCTTAACCTATGAATCTTTGATATACAAGCACATATATATATGAATAAAATATATAATATTTCGGAAACTATCTTTTTCGTAATTAAATGCAAATATCAGTAACATCGAAGAATAATTTTCGAGATATATTTGCGTTAGTACCTACGTTTGTATGTATTTCTCAGTATTTTTTTGACTATTGTTTTTGATTTTGATATTTTTGTTAACTTCATCATATAATTAAATAAAAGCATTATAAATTTTTGAATAATAATTATATAATTCTTAAATAACTTAATTATCTATATTGCTATTTTTGAAATGCTTATGATGTAATTTTTTTGTGCTTATAACTTTTTTATTGTATTATGTTTCAGACTCATTAATGAAATTCATCATATTTGTATATTCATCATATTGTATACAATAACTTGGTGATATTTGCACTTAGAATTCTTTAAAGTTCAAAATGCTACGTTCAATTTTATTCAGAGGGCCAATGTTATTAAGTATATATCCATTTAATATAACATCTAATGAACAGTACGATAGGCCTGTTAATAAAAAGCCAATAAAGCTATTGGAAGATGAAATGGGTTGGGACAGAGTGAAGAAGATTTTTTGTCTGAAGTATATATTTTATTAAAAATATTTTTATCTATATAGGTTACATGTACAAAATTTATGTTAAGAATAATGTAAAGTTGATATTAATAATCATTTCATTTTACAGTGAAGAAGGTCTGTTTACAAAAGAATTACAATCCATCACAAATGTGACATTGACAGGAGGTCTAATTGGTCTAGTAATTGGTGGTATATCTGCAACTAAAAATACTATAAATAACTTCATCTCAAGTAATGAAGCAACAAGGTTTATAAACCATTTTGAAGCAAAGAAGCATCTTCAACGAGAAGTTTTTCTAACTTTTGTAAAAAAGGGTGCAGTGTTGGGAAAAAAACTTGCGACATTTTCTTTCATATTCAGGTAAATATAACATTATAATATAAAAGTTGCAGGAGATAACAGTAGACAATATATTTTCTATTATAGTGCTCTAGCAACATGCACAACAGCATATCGAGCAAAGATAGGAGTAGAAAATTATGTATTTGCTGGTGCTGTAACAGGATCATTAAATAGATTGAACTTGGGACCTCGAGCATTGCTTGTTGGTGCTGGACTTGGTAGTACACTGGGTGCCGTATATGGTACTGTAACAGTTCTTCTACTTTATTTGACAGGAACAACTATAGATGAAATAATGCAGGTGCAACAAGACTGGGTAATATCGAGGAATATGTAAGTAAATATGTTCTATAACTTAAATATTAAGATTTTGTGTAAGAGAATCTTGATTCTCTTCTATGGAAAATCTATATTTCAATCTATATTTCAATATTATATCACACATAACTTCACAACAGGGATATAGAAGAGAAAATAAGAAAGTATGCATCTGAAGAGGAAGAATCTGAAATAAAAAAATTATTCGTAACAAATCAGGAAATACGAGCATGGGAAGAAGAATATCAGAAAGCCAAAAAAGAAAGTGGCTCCTAATACCTTGTTATTATGCAAATAAATGTTATACATAGATATCTGTGAGTTTAAAATATTTATTATACATTTATCGGCAATTGTCTTTGAGTTTTATGAAGTTTCCAAATAATTTGAAAATATCTCCAAAAAACCAAAGAATCGAAATCACAAATGTAAATACACAAAGCAAATAAAGTAAAACGATTAATGATCGCGGACATTCTTTTTACTGGCCTCTTTGTCTCTAACTTTAACTTTATTTTGCTTACTTTAAGAATTTACTACTTGGGAAATGATATCTTACGTAAAAATATATTCTTTATTACACAATTTAAGTAATTTATCATGATTAAGCTGCAAAGTCTAGCTAATTTTACTTGCGACGTGCAACAAAAATTTAATCATTATAGAATGAGTATAATAATTGCACTTTCTAATATATATATATGTGTGTGTGTGTGTGTGTGTGTGTGTGTAAGTAATATATATATATATATGTATATGTATATTTACAGAATAGGCCAAAATAAACACGACGAAATTATCTTAACTAATGAATTAATATTTTTTCACAAAACTGAGCAAAGGTTCATATGCATCTCATTGATGGCAAATGCGTGAGAATATACTCGGACAAACGTTACTATCCTACTTTCACTTTTATTGTTGTCAATTTGATAAATATCATTTATATTAATAACGTAAAATATTAATAAATATATCATTTAACTCTCTTGTCCGGTGGTCGCTAACTCTTGAACCTTGGTTATACGTTTAGCACCTCTGTTTGGCGGACCCTTGGGCTTAGCAAATTTTGGCTGATGCAAACTGATTTTTGGATGCAACTCCTCTTGTAAAAATCCCTCAGTAAGTTCCTCCCCCTCGGTTATTTGAAGCTATGCAGTCAAAATATTTTAAAGAAAAATTACAATGCGATATTTAATATCAGGAAAATCAATGTAGTTGGTATATGTTAAATTAAAGCATAAACCGGTTAACTATATGCAAAAAAATTTACAACTATACATCGAGAATTGAAAAGTCTGGGAAAGTTATTTCGCAAGTTATTACTGTGACTATATAGATCATACGGCAGGCCTATTCTGTAAGTTAGACAGAGAAAGTGAGAATGTGCTCTTTCGAATCTTAAAAAGTAGCTACATACCCGTTCAAGGAGTGTATCGTCAAGTCGTCCTTAGCAATCGCAAGGTACATACCTAAGTAGTCCTTAGCAACTATACCACATATGTACCTAGTGCATGAACTATAATACTGGATTTATAATATAAGGAGAAATATATCAAATTGCGAGTTTAAATTGCATGATACTTTATTATTTCCAGTATATTCGATATTGGCAAGATATACATTTTCCTTGTTTGTAATGAGTCTATATAACTATAACTGAAGCAGTTCGGTGCTAAAACAGAATTAGAGACTTACGGAATAGGCCTGGTACGACACTTAACTAAAAAAAATGCTAGGAAATATTGTGCGTCATAATATTGTGAAATAAAACACGTTCGTTCAAACAATGTTTGAGCATAGCGCAATTGTCAATTGTATCTATTATGTCTGCCAAACGTGAGCCAAATACTATCAATTCCTTTCTTCTGGTTTTGAACAGATTGTTCAAAAAAATCACGAGTTATAATTTATCAAGAGCAACGAATACAACGAAAAGATATTTTAATTTTGTTTAAAACTTATAAAAATATCATATTCGTACATTTTTGTGTATATGTGTGTTTATCGGTGTAAAAGACAAAAATGTGGTATACATTCGTGGAAGAAACGATTGAGAATTTGGCTCACTTGGAAATCATTTTCATCAAAAATAGACCCAATCGTTTTCATCAATGATTTTCATATTTCGCACTAAAATGGTTAAAAAGTTTATAAAAAGCTACAAGTATTAAAAAAATACAGATCACAAAAAATAGAATGCCTCTCATATATTTTGTTGCTGGTTATCAGATTTCGGTCCTAGTCTGCTGTAAGTTGCATGTTCAGTTAAACATTTGAGAACATTCCCAAATTCAAGATTCCAAGTATCTTGAATAATCAGCAATATCGAATAGAAACGCCGCGATTTACACATGTCTTCGATGCGTAACGTAACTTTGTGGACACGAAGATATATAAAAAATGTATACAAATACGGAAGATTAAATTAATATACTTCAAGCTGCTTTTTTTCACTTAAATAGTATTCAACATGCATTAACAGCTGACAGGACTCACCAACATCAGTCTTACATCATACGCACACACTTGTAGAAATCTAATATTTTGTGGCATTTACAATTGTATATGGAACATGATATAAAATTTAATATATATATATATATAAAGTAACTAGCATTTATCACTATCTTGTAGCTGAAATAATAATGTGCGAAAAAAATATATCCACGTTGATGTGGTGTTTGCATATTTATATAATTTGTGTCTACTACATTATCATCATATTGAAAATATGTAGAGAAGTTAGGTGAATGGCTTTAGCTCTCTCTCTCTCTCTCTCTCTCTCTCTCTCTCTCTCTCTCTCTCTCTCTTATTCCTTTCTTTTTCTCTTTATCTATTTAGAGCAAATGGAATTTTTCCTAACTCTCTAACCATCACATATGGTATGCAAGTTACCATAGATATCAGATAAAAACATACATTATACTAAAACTCTACATGAATATTTGTATGAGTTTAAAAGCCAAGCCTTCAAATTCCGTTCAAGAAACACTTAAAAAGATACATATCACCTTTATAAGACTAGGAACTAATTCGGTAGACTCAGTACAATATACTTCCATATCCTTTTTTCTTTTTCTAAAAGAAAGTATAATATATTTTAGATGTATGTATATATGTATATATATATATATAAAGAGGAATCGCGCGCGCGTAAAATATGAGTTATTCAGAATCAAGGAACTATATGAATAGAATGTTATTAGGTCCTGTTATTATAACTAAGTTACATACGCATTTACTATCATATCACATAGGTGTTTATGTACCGAAAATATAAAGGCCAAAATGCGTGAGGCTTAGCTTTCAATGTCAAACAAAGTAATCCAGTTCCATCTCGCTGCACTGTCTTTTTCTCTTTTCCTTTTCTCACTTAAATGAATATTTTCATACAATATATGCAAAACAACAAGAAGTATATATGTGTTATGGGGGTTGTCCGTATCATAGGCTCGTCACAGTTATGTTGAGTAGATTATAGTAATGTTTCGCAGAGTCTTTTGCGCGTGTGGCAATTTTTGCTTTTAAAATTTAGAAAAATACACCGTTTGGTCTACTCTGTTTTGCTACATAGGTATACGTATCACTTCGACAAATTAATTCTAATTGTTGATAAACAACACCGATTACTATCCCTTTACACGATGCGCTACACATTTTCTTTTCCTGCTGTTTCTAAATTAATTTAGAATTGTACATAGCTACATAATTATAATTTGCTCTAACGCGAAATGTTGGAAACCCATTATTTTATCTTTAAATGACATATCCCATGTCACAATATCATACTATCACAATTCTGGAATTCACGAAGGAAGATATCTGATGCTTAAAACATCACAAACACTTCAATTAGCGAGAAGCAGTAATAATGGCAGACAAATGCTTTAAGCCGGTTAGCTCAAGACACAAGACCGTTTCTGTTTTGATTTTTTCTCTGGCATAGATTGAGTAGGGGCACAAGGTGTTGATGGAGTTGCAGGAGTAACTGCAGCTGTGTCATTTATGCTTGGAGGGTCTTCCAACATATCTGCCAATTCCTCCCCACTATTTACTTCCAACTGGGATTGCATTTATATAATACAAAGATGGCGGTTATATACATATGTATACATATATTAAGAGTATCTTAGCATCACATAGAAAATAATGCAAGAAATAGCAGTGTATGATATATTGTTTCGTGATTTGGAAAAAAAGCAGGAATTACATATTTTGCTAAAGACACATAATGATTACTTGCAATTATAGTTATAAGCATGAGACAGTAGGACAAAATATAGATTTGTTTCAATTGTGTTATATCTTAAAAAGAGACTATAAAAATATCAAATATATGTATGTACATGGGGATTGTCGTGGAAAACTTACTCATAAACTTAAATGAATGATATCAATAAAGAAAAACATTTACATAGAGCAAGATGGAGGAAATAAAAGTGAGATAGTTTTATAGTTAATTAAAATGAAAAATGTTACTTATACTAACCTTCTTTGCTATAAGACTGGATAAGATCTAAGGAGAGGTCCTTTGCAGAAGAATTACCACATCCTTTCCTTAATAGTGCAACTAACCCTTGGCATGGCTATATAATGAAAACTGGAAAGTAAAAATTACTAGATACATTGTGATGTACTTATTATCTTCATAATTGATCACAGATCAAACATATTCTTTATCATACACACACCTATGCATTCGGTATAATCTCCTTCATGAAGTATGTTTAAAGTTATAAAGATGATATCTAAGCAGCGTCAGATGGGACTTTGGTGGGCCAATTGTCCAAAGAGACATCAAAGCTGTACCCAAGTGTAATTTTTCTTCTTCTAGATCAATCTTCAAATTGGAACATATTCGTGACTCCTTTAGCCATTTCTGTATAAGCCTGCTTTAAGCTTCATCTGTTACAGGAAATGCTACATGCACCGCTCAATGTCTGATGTTTGTCTCACACTGTAGTCAAGTTGCAGTCAGTAGTTTTTTCCTTCAATTCGCCAATTTTCTTCGGCTTGTTGTCAATGGTACAGGTGCTTGTATCATTTCTCTTAATGCTTGTGATAACCTTCTAATGTGATATCTTCTGGAACAGTGGCATGCAATTCTTACTTTTATAGAGGCTGTACCAAAATTCTTGCTTCAAGGTGCCTTGGTGGAAGCATAAGCATTTTTTTTTGTCTAACTGGTGCAGTATCGGAGACCAGGATTTATAAATAACCAGTCCATAACCAGAATCAGGTGATTTTGTGTCCATCTGTAAAGGATATCGGCTGGCTGATATTTTCACAATCAAATGCTTGATCATTTTGTCATAGTCCATCCTGCCATTTATTTATCGGCTTGGCGGAAGAAGCTGGCGTCAGTTCCTCTGAAAGTTATAATACAATAGATAGCCAAAAGGTTACATTTGGCATCCGCTCACATATCCGTCTGTAAGCAGTACTAATACATATTATATCCCTGTGGATTCAATAAGAATATGTTAATAAACTGGACTCACCATTCTCTATCGAAATCTTGAGTACTCGTATCTTCCGTCGCGACACTCGCGAACAACTTTTTCAACGCATCATGGGCTGAAACAAATTGTTAACGTTACGAGAATCGTTGACGTAAAAAAATTGAACAATTAGGCTTTAACCAAAACCACTTATTTTCGACAATCCGACGCAATTAATAATTCCGTCATGACGGATAATTCATGCGAAAAAGGTGTAATCACCCTTAATTCCCGTTTGATGTGACATCTCGTGTTAAACGATTGCTGCCGTATCCGAGTATAAATCTGGACTCTACGCCGAGAAGTTATTTTTTTTCCGGCTGGGCCAAAGTTTTATGGGGAACAGCTACCATTGCTAATATGGTCAGTGAGGCACGCATCTACCAGAGAGAAAACCTGAGGAGCGGCCCATACACATTCTCTGCGACAGCTGACTTTCGCACTGGGAAAGGACCCATCTCAATCCATTTTGAGAGGGGAACTACGATTGGTACAAACCACTTCAATTTCAATTAAAATTAACTTAAAATTAAAAAAATGTAACCTTCGGTATCTCTAAACGGCTCAAGATACGGAACGCGCTTTTTGCCTCAATATAGTCCTTGTACAACCCTATTCTCACATAAATTTCGACTCTCTCAATTCCCAGTAGAAGCGGAGATATGAACATTTAAATTCAAATTTCAATTAAAATTAACTAAATTAAAAAATAATAACCTTCGGTATCTCCTAAACGGCTCAAAGATACAGGACGTCGCGCTTGCCTCAATCTGTCCTGTATCACCCTATTCTCACCATAAATTTCGAACTCTCAATTCCCAGTGCAGCGGAGATATGAACATTTAAATCAAATTTCAATTAAATTAACTTAAATTAAAATGTAACCTTCGGTATCTCCTAAAACGGCTCCAAGATACAGGAACGCGTCTTTTGCCTAATATAGTCCTGAATAACCCTATTCTCACCATAAATCTCGACTCTCAACTTTCCCAGTAAGAAGCGGAGGAATATGAACATTTAAATTCAAAATTTCAATTAAAATTAACTTAAAATTCAAAAATGTAACTTTCGGCATTCCTAAACGGCTAAGATACAGGAACGCGCTTTTGCCTCAATATAGTCCTGTATCAACCCTATTCTCACCATAAATTTCGAAGCTCTCAATTCCCAGTGCAGCGGAGATATGAACATTTCAAAATTCAAAATTTCAATTACGTTAACTTAAAATTTAAAAATGTAACCTTTCGGTATCTCCTAAACGGCTCCCAAGATACAGGAACGCGCTTTTGGCTCAATACATAGTCCTGTATCAACACCCTATTCTCAACCATAAATCTCGATCTCAATTCCCAGTAAGAAGCGGAGCTAGTGAACAATTTAAATTTCAAATTTCAATTTAAAATTAACTTCAAATTAAAAAAATGTAAACTTCGGTATTTCCTAAACGGCTCAAGATACATGGAACGCGCTTTTGCCTCAATATAGTCTGTATCAACCTATTCTCAGACCATAAATTTCGACTCTCAATTCCCGTAGAAGCGGAGATATGAACATTTAAAATTCAAAATTTCAATTAAAAATCATCTAAAATTTAAAAATGTAACCTTCGGTTTTCTCCTAAACGGCTCAAGATATCAGGAACGCGCTTTTGCCTCAATTATAGTCCCTGGTATCAAACACTAATCCCCACATAAATTTCGACTCTCATTCCAGTAGAAGCGGAGAATATGACAATTTAAATCAAATTTCAATTAAAATTAAATTAAAATTTAATGTAACTTCGAACATCTCCTAAAACGGCTCAAGATACAGCGAGAACCGCGCTTTTGCCTCAATATAGTCCTGTATCAACCCTATCCCACCATAAATTTCGACTCTCAATTCCCAGTAGAAGCGGAGATATGACTTTAAATTCAAATTTCAATTAAAATTAACGTATAATTTAAAAATGTAACCTTCGTATCTCCTAAACGGCTCCAAGATACAAGGAACGGCGCTTTTGCTCAATATAGTCCTGTATCAACCCTATTCTCACATAATTTCGACTCTCAAGTCCGCAGTAGAAGCGGAGATAATGAACATTTTAAATTCAAAATTTCAATTAAAATTATCTAAAATTTAAAAACTGTAACCTTCGGTATCTCTAAACGCTCAAAGATACAGGAACGCGCTTTTGCCTAATATAGTCCTGTATCAACCCTATCCCCACCATCAAATTTCGAACTCTCATTCCCAGTAGAAGCGGAGATATGAACATTTTAAATTCAAATTTAATTAAAAATTAACAGTAAAAATTAAAAATGTAACTTCGTATCTCCTAACGGCTCAAGATACAGGAACGCCGCTTTGCCTCAAATATAGTTCCTGTATGCAACCCTATCCCCCGACCATAAATTTTCGACTCTCAATTCACAGTAGAGCGGAGATTGAACATTTTAAATTCAAATTTCAATTTAAAATTAACTTAAAATTTTATAAATGTAACTTCGGATATCTCTAAAATGGCTCAAGATACAGGAACTGCGCTTTTGCCTCAATATACTCCTGTATCAACCCTATTCTCACCATAATTTCGACTTCTTCAATTCCAGTAGAAGCGCAGATATGAACATTTAAATCCAAATTTCAATTAAAAATTTAACTTAAAATTTAAAAAATGTAAACTTCGGTAAATCTCTAAACGTTCAAGATACAGGAACGCGGCTTTTTGCCTCAATATAGTCCTGTATCAACCTATTCTCACCATAAATTTCGACTCTACAATTCCAGTAGAAGCGGAGACTATGAAACTTAAATTCAAAATTGCAATAAAATTTAACGTAAAATTTAAAAAAAAATGAACCTACGATATCTCCTAAAACGGCTCAAGATAACAGGAACGCGCTTTTGCCTCATATAGGTCCTGTATCACCCTATCTCACCATAAATTTCGGACTCTCAATTCCCAGTAGAAGCGGAGATATGAAACTATTTAAATTCAAAAATTTCACATTAAAATTAACGTAAAATTTAAAATATTAACCTTCGATATCTCCTAAACGGCTCCAGATACAGGAACGCCTCTTTTGCCCTCAATATAGTCATGTATAACCCATCCCCACCATAATTTCGACTCTCAATTCCCAGTAGATAAAGCGGAAGATATGAACATTTAAATTCAAATTTCAATTAACATTAACGTAAAATTTAAAATGTAACCTTCGATATCTTCTAAACGGCTCAAGATACAGGAACGCGCTTTTGCCTCACTAATAGTCCTGTTATCAACCTATCCCCACCATAATTTCGACTCTTCTAATTCCCAGTAAGATAGCGGAATATGAACATTTTAAATTTCAAATTTTAAATAAATTAACGTAAAATTTAAAAAAATGGGTAACCTCGATATCTCCTAAACGGCTCAAGATACAGGAACGCAGCTTTTGTCCTCAATAATAGTCCTGTATCAACCCCTATCCCCACCATAAATTTCGAACGACTCTTAATTCCCAGTAGAAGCGGAGATATGAACATTTAAATTCAAATTTCAATTAAAATTAACGTAAATTTAAAAATGTAACCTTCGATATCTCCTAAACGGCTCAAGATAACAGGAACGCGCTTTTCTCAATATAGTCCCTGTATCAACGCCTATCCCCACCAATAATTTCGACTCTCAATTCCCAGTAGAAGCGGAGAATATGACATTTAAATTCAATTTCAATTAAAATTAACGTAAAATTTAAAAAATGTAACCTTCGATAGCTCCTAAACGGCTCAAGATACAGGAACCGCGCTTTTGCCTCAATTATAGTCCTGTTCAACCCTATCCACCATAATTTCGACTCTCAAATTCCCACTAGAAGCGGAGATATGAACATTTAAATTCAAATTTTCAATTAAATTAACTTAAAAATTTAAAAATGTATACGCTTCGTATCTCCTTAAATGGCTCAAGATACAGGAACGCGCTTTTTCCTCAATATAGTCCTGTATCAACCCTATTCTCACCAATAAATTTCGACTCTCAATTCCCAGTAGAAGGGAGATATTGAACATTTAAATTCAAAAATTTCAATTAAAATTAACAGTTAAAAATTAAAAATGTTACTTCGATATCTCCTAAACGGCTCAGATACAGGAACGGCGGCTTTTTGCCTCAATATATCCTGTTAATCAACACTATCCCCCACTCATAAATTTGACTTCTCAATTCCCAGTAGAAGCGGAGAAATATGAATCATTTAAATTCAAATTTCATTAAAATTAACGTTAAATTTAAAAATGTAAACTTCGTATCTCCTAAACCGGCTCAAGATACAGGAACGCGCTTTTGGCCTCATATAGTACTGTATCAACCCTATCCCCACCATAAATTTTCGACTCTCAATTCAGTAGAAGCGAGATATGAACATTTAAATTCAAAATTTCAATTAAAATAAACTTTAAAATTTAAAAATGTACCTTCGGATATCTCTCTAAATGGCTCAAGAATACAGGAACAGCGCTTTTGCCTCAATTGCCTGTATCAAACCTATTCTTCACCATACATTTCGAACTCTCCAATTCCCAGTAGAAGCGAGATATGAACATTTTAAATTCAAATTTCAATTAAAATTAACGTAAAATATAAAAATGTTAAACCTTGATATCTTCCTAAACGGCTCAAGATACAGGAAGCGCTTTGCTCAAATAATAGTCTGTATCAACCCTGATCCGCCACCATAATTTCGACTCTCACTTCCCGTAGAAAGCGAGATACACAAGAACATTTAAATTCAAATTTCAAATTAAAATTTTAACGTAAAATTTAAAAATGTAAACTTCGGTATCTCTAAACGGGTCAAGATACAGGAACGCGCTTTTGCCCCAATATAAGTCCTGTATCACCCTATTCTCACCATAAATTTCGACTCTCATTTTTCCAGTAGAACGGAGACTATGAACATTAATTCAAAATTTCAATTAAAATAACTTAAAATTTTAAAAAATGTAACCTTCGATATCTCCTAAATCCGGCTCAAGATACAGGAACGGCTTTTGCTCAATATAGTCCTGTATCAACCTATCCCCAAACCATAAAATTTTCGGACACTCAATTCCCAGTAGAAGCGGAGATATGAACTTTAAATTCAAATTCAATTAAAATTAAACGTAAAATTTAAAAATGTAACCTTCGATATCTCCTAAACGGAGCAAGATACAGGAAACGCGCTTTTGCCTCAATTAGTCTGTATCAACCTATCCCCACATAAATTTCGACTCTCAATTCCCAGTAGAAAGAAGGAGATATGAACATTTTAAAGTCAAATTT